TTTTTTTTTTGAGACAGAGTTTCTCTGTGTGTGTGTTTTTTTTTTTTTGGAGCCTGTCCTGGAACTAGCTCTTGTAGACCAGGCTGGTCTCGAACTCACAGAGATCCACCTGCCTCTGCCTCCCAAGTGCTGGGATTAAAGGCGTGCTCCACCACCGCCCGGCTTGTGAGTTAAATGGCTCAAAGAATGGAATAATGTAAAGGTCACATGACCTTAGTGGATCGGTGGAGGAGAGAGCATCCACTGAGACTGACTGGATAAGAAAAAAGGGTTAAAACTGGACCCATGGGATAGTCTGGACCAGATGGTACTCATCCAGGTTACCACTGTTTGCGGTATTTTGCACTGGGCATGGCACCCAGCAAACCTGTGAGCTGAAAACTGAAACCGAATGACTCATGAGGTACAACACAGTACGCTGCTGGAAGGAGATGCGCCAGGAGAGTGTGAGCGTGAAGGATGCTGCTGAGGCCGGGGAGCTTCGGAAAAGGTGACATTTGAACTCTGACGTGCAGAGTTCACTAAGGCAGTAACTGCAGAGGAAGCCGGCCGGCTGCAAAACCCAGATCAAATTTGGGTTTTACAGAGCCTGGGGACTCACATCTGAGGGCACAGCAATCAGGAAACTGAGACAGGAAAGGCTGCCTCGGGTTTGGACAGCCTGGGGTACAGAGGAAGAGTCTATCCTAAAAATCAAAGTTTAAGAAAAGAAAGCCGGGCGGTGAAGAGCTAGCTCCAGGACAGGCTCCATAGCTACAGAGAAAACTTGTCTCAAAAAACCAAAAAAGCAAAAGAAATCAGCTGGGTGGTGGTGTCACACGCCTTTAAACCTAGCACTTGGGAGGCAGAGACCGGTGTGTCTCTGAATTCGAGGCCAGCCTTTTTTTTTTTTTTTCCAGCGCAAGTTCCAGGACAGCTAAGGCTACACAAAGAAACCCTATCTCGAAAACCAAACATCATCAGAAATGTACACTCCAGGAATTCACTTTCCAGGCCGTTTGTTGTTCAAAAGGTACCAACATTCGAAGCAGAAGCGGGGCGGATCTCTGAGTTCGAGGTCGACCTGGTCTACAGAGGTAGTTTCAGGGCAGCCAGAGAAAACCCTGCCTCCGAAATCTAAACACAAAACAAAAACCTCTCTGGGTTCACTCGGTCAAGAAGCGGGATCGGGAGGCGGCTGTTGGAGAGAGCGCTGTGCAGCCGGGCTTCCGAGTCCCCCGAGGTCACACGATCAAAACAACTCTTCTCCACTTTCCCTTCTGCTTTTGGGACTCCTGGTGCTCATTAAGTGTCTCCCAACAACTCTGTGAAACGTGAATTACAAATCTCACTTTAAACCTAAACGATTTGCTCAAGGTCACAAATCGGGAGAAGGCGTGGTGGAGAATGAAAGCCAAGTCGCCTGGGCGGCCACCAGCCGGGTACGGGAGAAGTCCCGAGGACGCAGGGAGGCGGGCGAGTGGGTCGGGCTCAGGCCCAGCTTCAGCCTCCCGAGAAGCCGCTCCAAAATGGAGGGGGCAGTGGCGTCAGCAAGGCCCCCGCCCCTTCCGTCCACCTCCCTCCCTCTTCCTCAGGGCCACACAGGCTGTGGGGGGGGAGGGGACGCAGCGCAGCCCCCCACGTGACCTCCGATCAGCGGGCGCGTGACGCAAAGCGGCGGGTCCAACGTTCGCTTTGGTTTCTGGGAAATAGAGTTCGAGAGGCCGTCCGGTGAGTCAGGAGAGGTGACTCTAGGACTACATTTCCCAGGAGGCAGCCGACCGAGGCGGTAGCCGCCGTCGTCGGCGAGCGGGGACGCGGGGCGCGCTGTCGGGCGGGGGCGAGGTTCGGGCCGGTTGTGCCGTTGCGAGACTGCGACGAGTCGTCGCTTCGGCGGGTCCAGGTGAGTGACCGCGGCGGATGAGAGTTAGGACACCTCGCCTGGTCCCCGTGTTTGTGGGTTTTTCTCTTCTCTCGGCGGCGGCTGGGCCCCGGCGAGGGTAAGGCCTAGCGTGCGGCGGCTACCCCGCGCTCTGCTGGGGCCTGCTCTGAGCGGGCCTGCTCGCTCGACTCCTCCTCCTCCCCGCCCTTCATCGCTTCCCTCCGCTCCGGCCTAGTCCGCCAGACTCCGGCCGTCTTCTCTAGAACCGCTTGCCAACTTCTTTGCACTCTGCGGGAGGGACGCCTTCCACCAACTCCACCTTTCCCCTTCCCTGGTCGGACGAACCCCATTATTTGAATTGTTTTTCCGGGAACTCTTAAACGCCCTTCCCCCACCTAGTCTCGATTGGCCTGGTTCTGTCTTCCAGGGCGCATGTGGCGGATATACACTAAATCTTAATATTTCCGTTTCTTGTGTGTTTTCCCCTCCTCTTCTGCCGTGTGGCCCAGAGGCATAATCCAAATTTATTTACCATCGGAAAAATGGGTGTTCCCACTTTTCCCCTTGGGTTGCAAGTGAAGCTGACTTGGGTTCCGGTGGCACTTGGCTTGAGTCCTGCTCATAAGAAGCAGTTGTGTTCCACACCTAAGCAGCTTTTCATTTTCTTTACCCTTCTGAGCCTTAATGGGTGGAGCTTGGCGGCGGTCGTTGGCCCGCCACACTGGTGGCCCAGAAGTTGGAAGCCATCGGTACAAGTACACTGTTAGCGGGGAGGTTGTGAAATGGATTGAAGGGAAACCTGCCGGGAATGTGGATGGCAAGGACGTTACCGGAGAGAGCTAAGAAAGTGGGCTTTGCCACCTTTTGATTTTAAATTTCAGTCCACACTTCCAGGTAGTTCCGTTTTTCTTTTTTTAAAATGGGAGTGCATAGCGCTGACAACTTTGTTGGGTTTTTGTAAGATTCAGTGAGATTAACTGAACTGAAGATCGCTTAGCGTCTGTTAACCCGTGTATAGGCGTCTCGATTGGGGGGGCCTGAGTGGAAAGCCGCATAGCGTACTGTCATTTTTCGGATCTTTCCTACTTTTCTTGTGGAAATATTGTCTGTATTGTAGTCTGTCCCGATAGACAGTTCGATGTGTAGATTCTGTTTAAGATGGCTGATGCCTTGAAGCTTGTGGAAAACAGGGCTCGCTCAGTTCTTTGTTTGGAGACGTGTATCTTGAACTAATGTTAGTGCTTACGGGACATCAAAAAGAAGTAGTGCAACTGCTTAGGCATGGTCGCTTTCTTAATTTCTCTTTTTCCCCGTAAATTCTGTAAGTAGTTGAGACTGGCCTTCAACTTTTGACCCTCTACCTCTGCCATCACACCCACTTTCTTTGCCTTTTTTCTTTAAAGATGGGGTCTCAACCCCAGCGGTGGTGGCTGGCCCACGCAGGCCTTTAATCCTAGCACTCCCAGGGAATCAGAGGCAGGTGGATCTCTGTGAGTTCGAGGCCAGAATGGTCTATAGAGTGAATTCCAGGAGAGGCCAAAGCTATACAGGGAACCTTGTCTCAAAATCCCCCCCCCCACACACACACACAAGAGTGTCATTGAGTATCTCTGACTGGTCTGGGACTCAAGAGATCCCAGCCTTCCCCTGCCTCCCAAAGGCGAACTCCATTACCCTGGCTTGATGACATTTTGTATAAACTGAATGAAGAGCTTTGTGGCTGGGATTGGTGGTTCTCCACTTCATTTGTAGCACTCCAAGGCAAGTGGCAGGCAGATCTCTGAGTTCCAGGCCAGCCAGAACTACATAGTGAGACCCTGTCTCAAAAAAGAGAGAAAGAAACTAATTGAAAATACCATTTCTTTGTTTTTCATATCTTTTAGCACCTGTGACCGATCTCCAGTTTTAGAGATAAATGGATAGATAGGTTGACTGACTGGCTCTGAGACTAGGTCTGGAATTAGTCTAGGTAGGGCCTTTCCTCCTGCCTCTGTCTCCTGAATGTTAGTGACTACCGAGGTGAGCAGTCACGCTTAGTAAGATTGGTATTTTAGTCTACAGACTAAGCACCATTCAACTTGAGTGGGGTTCTGATAATTGTTAGTGCTCCAGTTGGTTTCTTTTTATTTATTTATTTGTTTGTTTGTTTGTTTATTTATTTGGAGACAGGGTTTCTGTGTGTTATCGTTATCTTTGGCTGCCCTGGAACTCACAGAGATCTGCCTGCCTCTGCCACCCTGAGTGCTACCAGGGTGGTATGTGCTACCACTGCCCGATTCAACCATATATATTTTTAAAGATTTATTTTTATGTATGTGAGTGTTTTGTCTGCATGTATGAATGTGTGTGCACTATATGCATTCCTGGCGCCCTCGAGACACCATGTCCTGCCACATCTCTGGGACTGCAGTTAGAGATGGTTGTAAGTGTGGGAATTGAACTTGGGTTCTCTTCAAGAGCAGCAAGTAAGTGCTCTCCAAACATTCCTCCAAAATTTGTATATTTATTATTTATTTTGATGCTTGAGGACAATTTTATTAAGGGTCCCTTTTTTAAATATTTATTTTATTATGTATACAATATTTTGTCTGTGTTTATGCCTGCAGGCTAGAAGAGGGCACCAGACCTCATTACAGATGGTTGTAAGCCACCATGTGGTTGCCGGAAATTGAACTCAGGACCTTTGGAAGAGCAGGCAATGCTCTTAACCACTGAGCCATCTCTCCAGCCCTAGGGGTCCTTTTTGTTTGTTTGTTTTATTTTGTTTTTTCGAGACAGGGTTTCTCTGTAGACCAGGCTGGCCTCACGGAGATCTGTCTGCCTTTGCCTCCCAAGTCCTGGGTTTAAAGGTGCATGCCACTACCTCCCTGCCAGAATTTTTTTTTTTTAATATTTATTTATTTATTATGTATACAATACTCTGTCTGTGTGTATGTCTGCAGGCCAGAAGAGGGCACCAGACCTCATTACAGATGGTTGTGAGCCACCATGTGGTTGCCGGGAATTGAACTCAGGACCTTTGGAAGAGCAGGCAATGCTCTTAACCACTGAGCCATCTCTCCAGCCCCCCCTGCCAGAATTTTTATTTTTAAAATTAATACACATCTGTAAAATTTATTGCCTTGGTTTTAGTTTCTTTTTTCTTTTCTTTTTTTACTTTATTTTTTTCTTTTTCAGAACAGGGTTTCTCTGTAGCTTTGGAGCCCATGATGGAAACTAGCCAGGATGGCCTTGAACTCACAAAGATCCCCCTACCTCTGCCTTCTGAGTGCTGGGATTCAAGGAGTAAGTCACCGCCACTTGCGCCCCCCCCCCCCTTTTTAGGTTAATGGTAAATAACTGGCTTCCCTCTATTTTAGTAAAAAGGTGGGGTTAATAGGGAATTGATGGAGTAGTTCATTGAGGTGAGGGTGTTTCTTTAAGTCGGTCAGGAAGTTTCATTACCTGAAAGCCAGCATTGCTTCAGGAGCCTTTGGGTTTCATCTACAGCACCAAAGGCAGTAAAACTGTATAGAATCCTGGCTTTCAGAGTAGGGGTGACCAGGAAAGAAAGAAACTGGCCCCTGAACCTGATGACCAGAGTTTGAGCTCCAAGCCCCTTATGGTGAGAGGAGAGAACTGACATTTGTAAATTCTCTGATCTCTCTCTGTGTTTCTGTGTGTGATAATTTAAGAAACAAAACTTTGAAAATAAGGAAATTCTGCTGGTCAGAGTAACACGCAGAAGTCAGTGATCTCTAGAGTTCAAGACCTTCTTGGACTATACAGTGAGTTCCAGATCAGTTCAGACTATATTATGGCAGAGAGAACTTGAGTCTCAGCACCCATGTTTGGTAGCTCACAGTTGCCTATAACTGCCTCCAAGGGTTTGAGGCAGACACTTGCCAGCTGAGCCATCTCATCAGCCTTCTTTTTTTATGGAAAAAAAAAAAAGGCCAAGGTTTCTCTGTAGCTCTGGCTATCCTGGAACTGGCTCTACAGACTAGGCTGGCCTCAATTCGGCAGTCTGTCTGCCTCTGCCTCCTGGGTGCTAGGATTAAAGGTGTGTGCCACCTCCACCCTGCATCTCCCACCTTTTTTTTTTAATTGCTTATTTTTATATGTGGTGGTTGCCTATTTGTATGTTTGCACCAACTATATGTAGTGCTCAAGGAGTCCAGAAGATGGCGCCAGATCACCCGAAACAGAACCTAGACATGGTTATGAGTGCCCCTTGGGTGCTTGGAATTTAACTTAACCCAAGTCCTCTTTGTTGTTTTTCTTTTCTCTGTGGAGTTTTGCAGCCTATCCTAGAACATGCTCTGTGTTCCAGACTGATCTAGAACTCTTAACTCCTAAGTACTGACCCCAAGTCCTCTTAAGAGTGCTTAGTGGACTTTTAAGCTGTCTCCATTCTCTTTTCCTTTTCTGAAACAAATGTGTAATTACATGTTTGTGTGTAGGGAGTGTATGTGGAGGTCAGGAAACACATTTAGGGTCCTATCTTAAGGCTCCTGGGGAATTCAGGCTAGTCTTGAAGTACTGTTACATCTTGTGAAGTGTGTGTCCCCTGCTGCCCCTTTTGGAGATAGAATTACTTTGCCTACTCCAAATTGACAGTTTTCTTGCCTCAGCCTCCCAAATATTGAGACTATAGGCAGTTACCACTTAAAAATAGAATTCCTTTGTGTGTGGGGGAGGGGAGGGCTTGAGACTGTAACTCTAGCTATCCTGGAACTAGCTCTATAAACCCGACTGACCTCGAATTCAAAGAAAGCCGTCTGCCTCTGCCCTCCAAGTGCTAGGATTACTGATGAAATTGTTCATCTGTTAATGCTGGTCTGCAGTACTTCTTTCCCCTCCCTCCC